CCTAATCACATAAACAATATCCTCCAATAAATAATGGCTCCCAAAGGCTAGATTAAATCCCCTTCTAAAATCCCACAGAAGGGTAAAATACCACTTTACCCCTCCCTGGCCCAAAAGTCCAATGTTGATCAAAACCCTAAAAGTCAACGAAAGTCAACGGTCAAACTTGACCAGACTCGCCGAGTGCACCCGTCTGACTCGGCGAGTTCATGCGTGTCCTCTGACTCCTCGTATGCCTCACTCGACTCGTCGAGTGAACCTTCCACTCGACTGGTTACCACTGGAAACGAATCGCGGGGCAACCCGACTCGACTCGTCGAGTCCCATTGTGAACTCGGCGAGTTGCTTCCATGCTCTCACTCAAATGACCTTCTGAGGTTAGATATGCTTCCCTAGCCTATAGATCTGACCTTCCCAAGCATGATAATCACGTAAAGGTTCGAACTTTAGGCCCATGCATCACACTATCATCTCTATATGCCAAAATATCCTTTAATATGATAACCTAGGCCCCAAACTCATAGGGACTGCATAAAGCTGAAGGATAGGGACTCTCTGGACCTCTCAAGGTCCAGATCTGATAATATTGTCACAAGGGAACATCATACACACTATATCTATACCAAAAGAGAAGAGAAGAAACCCTAGATTCATGAAATCTATTACTCAAACGAAGATGGACATGAATCCTTACCTCTCACAGCAGCTCTGAACGAAATGATGGAAGGTTTGAGTCCCACAAGTCAGCCTAGCTCGAAATCCTTCCTTCCCTTTGCTAAAACACACTCAAGAATGATGGATTAGACTTCCCCTTGCACTACAAGCTTCTCTCTGCTCTCTAGGGTTTCTCAGGGGAGTAGTGGCCGCAAATGAAGGCCATAAGGGCCTTTAAATAGGGCACAAACCCCGAGATTTAGGGTTTCTGTCTACAGCGCGGACTCGTCGAGTCCACCCATCGACTCGTCGAGTCCCTTCATTAATCCAGTCAGCAAAAACGCGATCCTACTCGACAAGTCTACGCGTCAACTCGTCGAGTCCCTCCTCAAAACTCAAAATAAATGAATAACGTAGAATACCTGGGAATCCGGATGTTACATCTTTGTTTTATTTTTGTGTCGTGTCAATATGTCTGCTTAAATAACCTCTTATTTGAACCTTTGTGTCAAGTTTGTATTGGGTTAACGGGTTTAGACTTTGTAAGCCCAAAACTCAACTCAAAATTAGCTTGCAATGTTTTTACAGCATGCCCAACTAGATGAAATAATTTAAATCCTTTTACTTTAAGATATTTAAAATAGTTTTATAAATATGTTATGAAACTTGTGTATGTGGCCCTGTTTGTTTTATATTTCCCATTAAGTGGTGCTTAAAAAAATTAAATTATAAATCCACTGACTTTATTTTGTTGGTTTAGATTGTTGTACCATTCACAGCACATTATATGTTTGCTTTAGGAGTTGCAAGGTGTCTAATTTGTGCACATTAGATTCTTCAAGTATATTAATTAATATTTATATATTTTTATTTTTAAACTTCTCATGACACATAATACAATAAGTGGGAACATTTCTGCATTGGTAAATGCATTATGCACCCAAAAAGAGTTTTCTGTGTGTTTATTTTCATGAAATATGTGTTTTTTGCAATTTTAATAGATGCTTGGTATAATGGAATAAGAGGAAGGGATGGAATGGTTTATTCTACTCGAGTGAAAAAAAGTCTTTTGTTTTTTCTGATGGAATAGAATTAAACATTCTTGAATGAAAAAATAGCTCTTTGTTTTGCCATCCACCTTTATTTATTTATTTTTTGATTTTGAATTTTGTTTATAAACAAAACAAACAGGCATAAGTTGATAATATTATGATACTGAGTGAGGGATAGTTGTTGTAAATTGGTATATAACAATAATAATAATTAAGTAAATTGTTGTTGTTCGGTTGACAAGTCTTTACAAAGTGCGGAAGAAGAAGCTGAGTGAATATACAAAGATGAACATGGCTTACTTCTTGATGATGAAGCAGCTTCAACCAGAGATGCACTGTAAGTTTCTGGAGTCGAGGGCATTTATGTCTTTTGCACATTACAAACAAGGCGCTTCTTATTGTTTTCATTTGCTAAATTTCAGGTATGAGCAGGCTGAATTCATAGAGAGAGAAATGGAACAAATGACCGAACAAATAAAGTCTGTTATTCAGACTCTTAATGCCAATCAGGTTATTTGTCTTTATTTTATTTTTTTATTTGGCAATGCAAAAAGCAAATTTGAAAAGTAAAAAAAAATGATTAATTTGAATATGTTTATGTTGGATATAATAATAAGCGGGAGAAGTTGAAGCAAGTGATGGTATGGGTATGTCCCCACCAGATGTGGTGCTTCGGATCCTTAACAATCAACTCAGTTCATTAATGTGGATCGACGAAAAGGTTGTATTTATATATTTAATTTTGTAATTACAAAAATAACAACTTACTTTGAAAATCAAAAATATAATAACTAAATTATAAATAATATAAACATCTTGCTGGTTCCACAAACATCCTTTTGAAATCTAATCCTTTTTTTTTTAAATTTCCTATCAATTTTGGTCCCAGTGTCGTCAAAGTCAACATTTAACTGTCAAAATTTTATAATGACCACGAGGACCAAATTTGTTAATATGTGTTATTTGTTTTCTATAAATTAACCTTTAGAAAATTTTGAATTTTTAGTCATGGATCATGTTCAAATGATTAAAGAAAAATAAATATATTATGCAAATATTGTTATTATGTTATTGTTGTTATTATATATTATTTAAATTTAAATCCCTTTAAAATCGGTATCTAATATCAATATATTTGTTAATTTGTCAATTTTCCAACTTACTCTAACACAATTATAGGGATTACACATATATTTATACCATACAATCAGGGATTTAATTTTTGAATTCCTTAATCATCACCTTTTTTATGAAGATATCCATAAAAATATATATATCTGTTAATCATCACCTTTTTTATGGAGATATTCAGAAATATCATTTTTTTTATACATATAAAAAAATTTGTAATTTTTTTGAAACCACAAGCAAAAACTTAAAAAGGTCAATCAAAATACGTAATCAATGAATTTAAAATTTGATTAGGTTTAGCTTTATCCATTTTATATTATCAATATTTTTTAAACAATAGAGAGCCAATTGCATCATATACAAAACAAACTTTATAAATAATACAATATATGTTTTCTAACTTAATGATATATTATTTATTATATAATTAATTTTAAATTCTATTTAACATTAACACTCGTGGGTTCCACGAGTTTTTACCTAGTATATATATATATATATATATATATATATATATATATATATATATATATATATATATATATATATATATATATATAGAGAGAGAGAGAGAGAGAGAGAGAGAGAGAGAAAAGATCATTTGAGAACTCATAGTTTCCCGAGAACCTGAGAACTAAAAGTGGAGCGTTAGATCAATAATTTGTATGGCTTAGATGATTAGTGGCAACATTTGTAAATATTAATAAGTTTAGTGGCATATCAGGTTTATTAAAAATAAACATGAGGGTAAATTCGGTAGAAAAATGTTTTATCCTTAAGATTAGGTAACCCACAAATTACTCACCCAAAACCATCGTCGTCCTCACCAACCTCCTTCTCTCTCACCTGATATTCCCCCAAATTCAGATTTTCTCTCTCTAATCTCTTGATTGCCTCTTTCTCTCACAACTTCATCGTTGATTGTTTGATGAAATCCAACGTCATGGTCTGAAATCTATGGTCGCGTCCAGTACTCGTCACGCCATCGATCGATTACCTTCTTCATCGTCTCTCTTCTTTCTCCATCGACATCCCGTGTTTCCAATCAAATCTGTAGAAGGTTTCAACGCCCGGAAAGAATTTTATATAATTGACAGGGAGATTCATTTAAACATATGCTGGTAGACTACAAAGGTTGACGAAGACGAAGATTTTTTGCATTTACACATCGAGAGGTATGAATTCTCTTCCTTCAATCTCTGTATTTCCATCGTAATCGCCGATAATTATCATTTTGTTTCATGTTATCGTTTATACGATGTTTATCTGTGATATTCTTTTTCGCTTTTTCGTATTCGTTTCCGTCTTTTCGACGATTTTCACTCCGACCGATGTATGAGGTAGTTAGGTATAATTTTAGGTAGAGAAATCACTGTAAATTCCACTCTTTGTGCATGTGGAAGCTAAGATTTTAAATTGAGGTTAAGATTGATTCGTTTCAACTCTGACACTATGTTTTTAGGTTGATTTCATCATCGATTTTTTTTATCTTCCGTTGATTTTTATGGAGCGTAAAGTTCTACGTTAATGTTAAGGTAAAATTTTATTAAAATTCATCTCTGATTCATAGCTGAAATCACTTTGTTTGACAATCAACATTAAACAGAATCGTTATCGCAATGGAAGGAGAAATGCAGAAGGTGATGAATTTCTGTTATTGATGATATTGTGATTGATTATCGTTGAAATGTGAAATTAGGGTTCTTTGTTATCATTTGTGTGCATCTTAGTATTGATTTTGTTGTTTAATATTGTCCAGTCTTTTGCTGAGAAATCACAAAAAGGGGAATCAATTCAAAAGTGAGGTGGAAGTTTAGAATCAGGTTTCATAAGATAAGCTACTGGAAATCTTCAGAGGTAAGAACAATAAGAAGAAGATACAAAAATTGATGAAAAAAGGAACAAAATTATAATCTCACAATTCGAATATCCATCAAGAAGATACAACCAATGGTGCTAAAAGCAGAAAGTTACTCAGATATTCTCAAGGGTAAAATGGTCACAACAGGAGAAGAGTACACATAACTCAGTCAACTCACCAATGTTGCTAACACTACAAGTCATGAAGCATCAAGAAAGAGAAAAAGGAGAAAAGTAAAGGGTAAATGTGTCATTTTGAATCCCAATGATAATACTTCATCAATTCAAGATCTTCCTACACAAATGGATACAATTATCACTAAATCTCTTTCTGAAAAACTCATCATTGGTAGCATACAAATCCTCATTGATTATTTCTACCTTAATGAAATCCAAATCATGAAAACTCATGTTGCCACGTCAGCAAAAAATCTTTTGATTCTTGATGTAAATGGATTGTTAGCAGATATCGTTTCTCCCCCTCCAAAAGATCTCAAATCAGATAAAAATATATCAAAAAGAGCAAGTAAGATTTTATCCTAATTTGTAATTACTAATTAAGTTAAAAATATCTTTTTATGGTAATTTAATTTATTATCCTTTTTATTATGCAGTATTCAAGAGACCTTTTTTGGATGATTTTTTAAGATTTTGCTTCCAAAGATTTGAAGTTGCGATTTGGTCATCAAGAATAAGGTATTAATTAACTGGGATATTTTTAAGTTTATAGGAATGTGTGCTTCTTGATATAAGAATTTTATATAATTGATATAATTGAGTTAATAGATACAATTAGTTTTTGGTTTTAAACCATTTATGTTTGTTGATAGAAGATATTTTTCATAATTGATATAATTTATAAAAAAATTTGATGTTCAAATCATCATTCAATGCACTGGTTCAAATTTGTCAAGATGAAATCAAAACTTTATTCTCTTTTTTTACAGTTTTGAATATGAATAGACGTTATGTTAATTTATAACAGTTTTAGATTTTTTTTCTTATACTCTTCATCTTTATTTGATCTGGTCACAAACGACAAGATGCTTTACTGCTTATTATGTTTTTGTTAATTAGCACTTGTAGGAGTCCTAATTTCTTAATATTGATTTCTATTAACAACTCAACACTTTGTTAATATGTATTTTGATTATTAAAATCATTCTATGAGAAATTTGATTCAGATTTTATCAACATTAGGACAAAAGCTTGTGAGGTGTTGCAAAGAGAAGAAGACCTAAATGAGGTTGTCTAGGTATGTTGGTGGTTTTATTATATTATATATGTTTTATTTGATGAGAATTATATATGTATATGAATATTTGATGAAAGATTATTTATTTACATATGTGATTTACATGTGATTTGCATGTGAATCACATGTGATTTACATGTGAATTACATGTGAATAAAATGTGATTTACATGTGAATCAAATGTGATTCACATGTGAATCACATATGATTTACATGTGAATTATATGTGATTCACATGTGATTTACATGTGATTTACATGTGAATTACATGTGAATAAAATGTGATTTACATGTGAATCAAATGTGATTCACATGTGAATCACATATGATTTACATATGAATTATATGTGATTCACATGTAAATCACATGTAAATCATATGTGATTTACATGTGAATCACATTTGATTCACATGTAAATCACATTTGATTCACATGTAATTCACATGTGATTCACATGTAAATCACATGTGAATCACTTATGATTCATATGTGAATCGCATGTAATTTACATATGATGTCATATGTAAATGTGATTCATATGTGAATTGCATGTGATTCATATGTTAATCACATGAAAATCACATATGTATTTTTGTGAGTGTTTTCGCATTAATTATTTTTTTTAAAAGTTTTTGTAGATTTGGAAGAAATTGTGGTGAATATTGAAGAGGTGAAAAATGATAAACTGAAGAAAAAATAAGGAAATATTGACACGAAGACATGAAAACGCTTTGAAATTTGTAGCATTTTTTATTTTTTATATTTTATTTTGTATCGAATAAAATACTTGTACTATTATGTTTATAGATTAATTAATAAAAATGAGATTTGTTGTGATTTACTTACGAATACTATAGTATAAGAAATATACATATATGCATTTGAAAAAATATGCATATATGCACCTAAAAATTTACATTTTTCAAAAAAAGTGCAGTTTTTTTTTAAATTGCAGTTTTTTTTAAATGCAGTTTTTTTTGAAAAAAATGTAACTTTCTTTAAAAAATTGCATTTTTTTAAAAAAAAGTATTTTTTTCAAAAATTCTTGTTTTCTATAAAAAATTAAAAAATATGTATTTTTTCATAAAAAAAAACGAAAAAAAAATATTATTTTAAAAAAAATATGAAAATTTGATTTATGATGTAAATTTTTAGACATTTATATTAACTAGAAGGAATTACATGCGCCGTTGGCGCTGGATTGGAAAGGTTTACCTAAATGTTGATAAATTTTTGTTTTGTATTTCGTTGACTTCATTTACTTTTCCTATTACAAAATGCAGTCAACAATGATAAAGAGGAACATAAGAACAATGATGGTATTAATGTAGGAAACGTTTCAATGTGTATTCCAAAGAAGAGTCTTCATATTCGGGCCTCAATTACTATTATTTTTGACCATCTCCATTAACATCCTGAAAAGAAAAACATGGATAACAGAAGCATAAGTACAAACTTATCGGTTGCAATGTAGAAGAATAGAAATTGAAATATTGGTCTTTTCACATACCCATGCTATAATTTCAAGTTTACTCGAATAAACTTAGATGCATTGAAAATCATTATTACATGCTATAATTCATCAAATCTTTCATTATTAGTAAATAAAAAACCGAAGTAAAGGATAATAACAAAAGGGTAATTTAGTAAAATGACCATAACAAAAAAAACTATAATACCTAATCAGAAGATGACCATGACGAGCATAACTCTTTATCTGTATTAATTTGTAGGTTTGGAAATAAAAGCTGAACCAAAGTGCTTAAGAAAATCTAGGCTAAAAATAACACAAATACAATTTAAAATATAATTATTTGTTAAAAGTATTATATTGTAAGGACTCAAACCTTAATCAAGTTAGTTGTGTTACCAAGGTTAAGAGTGGAAGTCCATGTAAGGACTCTGACCTTAATCAAGTTAGTCAACAATGATAGAACGATTTTCAAATAACAATAAAAGTAGTTTAACTTAGCATTAATATTGAACCCGAAAAAGGAATGTAAAGGTACCTAGGACCTAAAACGACTGTAGAGCTGGTAGTTCTTCTAATTTCAACCCTGCATTTCTCTTCCTAAGAAAAAATAAGATACGATTATTTACCTTAAGGCTAATGATTGTCCCAAGAACAGAAGGCAAACGAATTCCATGGATTACAAGATATAATAAGATTTTTCAAATCCTTAAAACACATTTCAACTCTCAAATCCAAAACTTCATTCGTGGGCCAAATCAAACGACGTATAAAAGTACAAATATTGCTTCTAAAAAATTTATACCCAAAAGAACAAACATACCTTTTTCTTTCTTCATTCGTGTTGTTGTTGCTTCAAACAACAGGAACCTTCTCCCCATCTTCAATTAAGTAAATTTCACTTTCAGGAGCCTGCAATATATTTAAACATTTACAACATCCTAAATTACTATCTCTAATTATGGATCTATAAAAGAAGTAAGAAGCTTATTCTAAATAAAGAAAACCATACCAACTTTTGCATAGTAAGTTGAACCCAAAAAAATCAAATCTGGAAAAAATAGACTACTAAAAAAGAAACAGGTTGAAGATTCATTTTATCAACAGTAACACATAGTTTGGGTTCCTAATATTGTTGTTGCCATCTTTTGTTGCTTGAAAATAGAGATTCTGGGAATTTATGGACTCCATTTGTCTTAGAACAAGGACATATGAGGAGTTCAACAAAGTATCTCCTTTGGCTGTTTTTACCTCCACAAAAGCACCCTTTGTACTGGCTTCTTTAAAAGCAAACCTTCATTGCAGCAAGATTCATTTTATCAGTGACAATATGCAAAACATGAGACAAATTTTTATTATTTGATTGCAAGATGAAAAAACAGAATTAACACCAGTATTCCTAAAAGAAACTGCATGAGTATCTTACCTTCAAAGCCTTAGCCTCCACAACGTTCGTTTTGTCCTAAGAAAGTTAAAATGCAACAAAGGAAAATGAATTACTATAGATAATCCAAAGAATAACCGGTAACATTAATGACTTCAATGTTCCATGGTTACATCAGACCTTGGGAAAATAAGTAAATCAACTTTGTGATACATAAATTCCAATTTTAGCTTACATGAATAATATATTGTATGCAAAATAATCAATATTCTTCAATGTTGCATTTTATCGAGCATGTGGTGTGCGACAACGAATTTGTAAGCTAAAACACACCACTCACATCGAATTGGAGGGAAGAAATATAATAGAAGAAAAGTAGTTGATAATTTAGTCAAAACTGAAGCCAACAATGGAAGAAGTAAATAAAAAATCAATACCCCTTACAAATTAGCAGAAAATAAAGTAACCGAAGAGAAGTTGTCGGTTTGTTAGGAACTTAGGCGCCGCTTCCTCCAACCTCTCCAGTGCCTCACAGCTACGCACTTGGAAATCAAACATGCTATTATAGGCCCAACACTTTGCCTAAAACAGGGAGAAGCATACAGGCCGAAGCATACAGGCCACATAACTCTGGTGGAGGCACATTAGGGTAAGGAAATATCAGAATACTTGACCTGCAACATCAGCTGTAACAGGGGCGATCCTTTCTTGATAAATACAATACCCTTTCAGCCGCATCTTTGCTCTATCGGTTCTCCACAAAGGAGACTCTTTTCTTCATCAGAGAGGGAAACGACGTCAGAGGAAGGTTGAGCGAGGCAAGGTCGGCGTTGGTGTGTTGATGGAGGTGGGAATGAGAATTAAGAGGGAAAACGGAGTTGGGCAAAAAAATTAGAGTTCGTGTGATGGAGTCGGTGGAGGATTTCTGATCGGAAGGAAAACATATAGGATTGGTCGAATTAGGCGGTAAAAAGATAAGATAAGAAGGAAAATATATATGAGGTTTGTAAGAATGAACGATGAAACCATGGGTGTCAAAAAAACAAAAAATAAAAGTCCCGTGTGAATTTAGGAAAGATAAAAAAAGTCACTGTTCCCCAACATTTTAAGCTTTTATGTATATATAAATATATTAAATAACACATAAAAATTAAACATTAAATGAGATTGGTAAGATGACGATCATGTCCTTAATAAATTACTTTTGATCCAACGCTCAACTTTTAGTTCTCGGGTTCTCGGGAAACTATGCGTTCTCAACCGATCTCAACCCTATATATATATATATATATATATATATATATATATATATATATATATATATATATATATATATATATAACATGTCAACATATAGACCGATTACATGCCAAACACAATGCATACATAATGGGCGATGCTACAATAAACGTACACACTTATAAATTCAAACTAAATATAAGGAAAAGATTACAATCTATCTTTATCCTACCAAACTCTATCTTTATCTTTATAGATATAATCTTTGATAAAGATAAACGCCAAAGGTAAAACATACGCCAACAGGTTTTCCATATATTATATGGCTATTCTTTAGCATGATTGGTTACATAATATTTATGTAAAAAAAACCTAAAAAAGTCTTGGTTTCTACCCACAACACTTCTTTACCAAGCAGTCAAAACTAGTACAATCATATGAATTTTAATCGGTTTGGATAACTCAGGTGTTGTTTGTTTTTTGGAAAAAACCTCTTCAGACCTCTTATTGCTGCGCGGCGCAGCACATGCGCAACACTTTTCATCTCGCAGTTGTTTGTTTTTCAGAAGTCTTCGGATTAAAAAACCTCTGCGCGTGTTCTCGGCGCAACATTTGTTTTGCCTCTTCTTACCTCTTCCAACCTTTTCTTCTTCTTTTTTTCTAGCTAAAATATTGATTATATATTGCTGAAATCTTATTTCACTTTTTTTTTCGGTTTTTTTTGTTTATTCTTGTTGAAAAAAAGTTTTTTTTTTTTTTATATTGAATAATAATAATTTGTTGATGAAATATCATTATTTTATGCTAAAATATCTTTATTTTTTTGTTAAAATATCATTATTTTTTTACTGAAATATCATAAATTCTTGCCGAAATGTCATACATTATTATATTTTCGGTACTAA